GATCCTTTCGGAGATGGACGTTACACTCGGGGGTCCCGCGTCTTAAATACATTAACCTAACAGTATTGACAGGGACGTTGAACTTATACATTTCACTGTTTTTTTCCTCTCCAGATGACCGTACCATGCACTCGTTCACTGACCGCCGATCACCTTACAGACAGGGTGACGCCATCAGGATGAAAGCTCTCAAGACCTCGATGGCGGGAAACTCCAGCATCGCCTCCAACGACCTTTGAACTCACTCCGCGAAGCCTTCTGAACTTTTGACACGGCCCCTGAAATTTTGAGTAGGCCCCCAAAATCTCACTGGAGATCTTTCAACTCGGCTTGATTGAAAGCTGTGCACACTTGTTCAACAAGTCGGATCGGATCGACATGATCGGGTGCTCTTGGAAATCCGGGGAGGCCAATGTACATAAACTATCTGAGGACTTTATAGACATAACATTGTGTCTGATCAACGACTCACCAATGACATGTCAGTTTTGCAACCGACATAATATCATCATCATTTGCCTATCCAACGGTTGACCAATCCTATATCAGTATGAGCAACGGCTGACGACTCATATATCAGTGTGGTAACAGACAAATATTATATCGCTTATCAACAGCTGACAAGTCATGATTGCAGTGTGATAGCACATTTGAAATGTTTGGGTTTTTTTGGGTTGTTTTTTTTTGGGGGGGGGGGGATTCGTTTTTTCAAGTAACCAATAACTGCGAGTCTTCAAGCGTTGTCGAATAATCAAAACCCGCGTCCTGAATGCGTTAATTACCAAACACGACAGGGGTTCGAGTCCATTTTGTTCCCCTAAAAATATGAGACAACAACATCCACTTTAAGTACTTTTCCAGCAAAATGGTACTTCACCGTGTTGAGAAAGGTAGAATGTTGCGTTGTAGACCGAATCATACGAGAAAACCCCATCAAAACAGATTTTAAAACAGTTTAGGATATACTGGGCTGAAAGATGTAACAGTAAATATACCTAAGATGAGGAGATTATAACATTATAACAATATCAGCTCCTTCGTCAATATCTGACGATTACCAATACATAGGCAAAGGGAATATTTCTCCCCCTCGAAATAGACAGATTTATTGAAGAATTAAAGGAACCGATGGCTAATCGCTTCTGATGTGGCCGATGAGACCAATTCTGGGGGAGAAAGGTTTACTACATTTTGAACATCTAAAGACTCTACTTCCACTTGTGGATGTGTGCAGCTTGCGGGCTTCTCTCTTGGTTTCAGCATTTCTTATTCATGAAGCCTCAATATGATTTGCTGCCCGCTAATATTATGGTAAGCATAAAACCTTTTTGATGTTAAAGACGAGATAGATCATTGCTTATTTTTATTTGGTTATAATTTAGTCGATCCTGTTTGCCAAAGCCAACCCACGCTGAAAGGGAAGGAAATTCAGCCAAGCAGACAGACTGTACTCAGGCAATCGTTTAATTTACTCCCCACTCGGGTATCGAAACTAAATGATGCCGGTTATGGCTAGAGTCCCTAACTAGCTAATGTTTATATTACTTTTCATTTATATTATTCGTGTGACTACTGTGAGCCTGTTTGTGTAGTGTGTGTGTGTGTGTATATGGGTGTGCACATGTGCTTGCGTATGCGT